TTCTCAAGATCCAGGTCGCTATTTGGGTCTTTCTCAAAATAGGATGCCCAAACATGAGACTTTCTCGGTGGCTGTTGTTCAAAGCCCTTCCGGAACACATATACCTTCAAAACAGAGACAGCCCCATATCTCTTCCGAGGTCCTCAGCAAATAAACGAAAGAAAACATCGGAAACCCACTCCAAAACTCGGTTGCTTTCTGCTCCCCTGCTAAAAAAGTTAACCTTTAGTAGTTTAGTGGAAAATCCATTTGTTGGCAAAAAGTTAAAGTCCTAACATCCCTTGGCAAAATGCACCAAAGAACAAAACAAAACAAAAAACGCGAGGTCGTTCCCCATGGCGCCTCCCAAGTGGACCAGTCGTCTCAGCTCCTCGACCGCTTTCGAGGCCCGGCGCACCACGCGCGGCTTCGCTTCGCCGCGCGAGCGCCGGGTCCGGGCGCGAGCCTGGGAAATGGCACGGGCTCATCGCAGATGCCCAGATTTCCACAGGCAAAACACAGAGATCCTCTTGAACATTGCCTCGTGAATGGTGGCTTCCCTTTATTCTGGTGGAAAAAGCCATGTTTCAAATGGGTAAAATGTATCTTGAAAGGAGCCCTGAAACAGGGCATCCCTTTTTTGGCCGGTTGAGTTTCAAGGGGAACCCTTCCAAAGGGGAGCAATGTACTTGATAGGACGGTCAATTCTTGATGCCAGATCGGTGCAGCAAACCGAAAGGGGGCTCAGGGACATGCCCAAGAACAGCTTGCGGAGGCTGACAGCTCCTCGGCGTTGGCGTATTCAAGATTTTGGTGTGCATGTCGCAAGCAAACTCTGGCAATGTTGTCTGGACAGGGACGCTTTACAACATTCATATCATAAATCCATGACACCAATATGATTCATATTCTAATTATGAATGTCAAGCACATTCACACACTCGCACACAACGCACACATAAGGGAGTAGCTGAGCATCTATAAAACTTGATCTAAACCAACCGCTGCAAGTCTGCTCGCTGGGCTGGATCTCGTTGTGATTCCGCGAACGAAACCCAGCAAGCCTCTGAGAGCACGCTGAAGGGGCCGCGCACAGGTATTTTCAATGCGGACTACATCAACACAGCCACAAACAACATGAACAAAGGAGAAACCGCATAGCTGTCAACGCCACGTGCTTCCTAAACTCCATGTGAAATTTCCTGGATCACCGCTGCCCTGTTGTCCCCTCAAGGACACACCCGAAGAGGCTTGTCTCATGGGGGGGGGACCTCCAAAATGGGTGGCTCAGCAATCCCAGAAGGTGGTACCCTGAAAACGACACGCACAACAAACGGAGAGACTCGCCCTGCGATCCTCGCCTTGGCGCGCAGTGCGGTGACAGCCCCTGCGGCCGCCGCGCCGGTGACCAACTCAGCATGCGGCCGACGCGGCGCCTGGGCGCTCGGAGTGGGAAAAAGTCAGACTCTGAAACTTGCTCATGACGAACATGATTAAAAAATGACGACGATGATGATAATGACGACGACAACAACAAGGATGATGATGATGACGACAACAACAACAAGGATGATGATGACGACAACAACAACAAGGATGATGATGATGATGATGATGATGATGATGATGATGATGATGATGATACTAAATGGCAAAGATGAGAGGCGTTGCCATCGCGAAAGGGCAAAGGGGATCCTCCCCTAGAGATTTTTCAGGGTCTTCCTAAAGGGCACTGTGGCCTGGCTAGTCCATGACAGTTTCTTCAAGTCGAACATGTGCATGGCTCCACGGTCTGGCTTGAGTTTTGACCGACTTTGGATGTCACCAGATCCAACTCACCGGCGCTCGCAAGGGCAAAAACTCAGAATGCCCCCCAAAAAGGGGGCCTTTGGGGGGGATTACCTGACAACTTTTTGAATGAACTTTTTTGAAGGAAGCTACTCAAAGTGAAACGGCCAAGCCAACGGACCACACATGCCACGAGAACTCTGTACCATTCCAAACAAACTGGGCCCAAGCAGTTTAATAACTGAAGCACGAATCGCAATCTCAGAGACATGTAGGCAAGTCAACCTATGAAGAATCTCATCCATCCGCCATACACGTGACTCCCGCACGCCCTGCCTGAACCTCGCGATGGCTCAAAGCACCCAGCGTTGCGCCGGCGGGACGCAAGGGTGAGGCAGGCGCAACAAAAGCCACTGCCATGGCCGTGGACGCTGCTCGCGCAGCACTCAGCGCAGCGAGCTCTTGTGCCAGGAAGGGCCCGCCGGGAGTAAACAATTCGGGCGGAGAGCGCTGGATAAGCTGTGTCTATTCAACTCATAATGAAGCTTCGAAAAGCATAGACCATTTAGGGGGCAATGCTGAGATTCGGGCCCCTTGTTGACCAAACAAAGGCAACCCTTGATGGAGATGTCAAGGGTTCCTTTTGACATGCAAAGGGCGAGCAATGCCACAAGAGAAGCGCAGCAGCACAAAGAAGAGAACCCGCCGGCTGCCAGCATTTGGCAGTCCGTCTGAAAAGAGCTGAACGCTATTGACGTCGCCAATACCCAGACACAAATGCGCACTCACAAACGAGAGGTTCGAGAGGTGCGCTTGGAACCGTAGCAGCTAGATACTTATCACATCCATGAGAAGCGGCGGGGGCTTGGCGCTCAAGGTCCTGACCCGGAGCTGAGCAGCGGGAAAAACCGGCGCATTAAATTTGGAAACCAAAGACTGTGTTGCTCAAGCAAGCGTCCCTGTGCCAGATTATGTAAGGAGAAAAGGCGCATGCAGCTACGCGTTTGCAGTCAATCAATGCCAATGCAAGCCAGTAAATGAAGTGGATTGAACGCCACATTGCTGCACACACTGTCACCATCAGCAGAGCAACATCCGCATTGACATGTAAAATAGTTGGCAAGAAGCCCTGAAACCCCACTCTGATGCCCATGTTTGAGATTAAGGTATGCAAGTGTGACAGAAGAACAACTAAAACAACCATGATCGATCAATAGTTGTCCATAGGGCATGCTGAATCCTCCATGAACGCCCTACCGGCAGCTAGCACATGGAGGCACATTTTCTCGGCGGTATATGCAACAGCGCTCACCAAACAATTCACTCACAGGTCGGCAAGCGGGGAGGCGAGCATGGTCCGGCCATCCCCCTGAACGTGGAGTCCCAGAAGCTCATGCCTGGTTAAATTAAACAAGATTGAAAAGCATCGCAAGTACACCTCTCTGCCATCCATTTGTCATAATAAAGTTTGAAGCCGTGCAACCGGGTCTTTTGGTGCGCGATAGGAAGCATTCGCTAGCCCTGCTCAATTCACCTCTTGCAGACCTGGTCTAGAAGCTTGCTGGACCGTTGGTCTTGTGCCAGCAGGAGACGGGAGCAAGATGGGAATGGCAGTTTGCAGCGTAAGTTGATCGAAAACATGCCTTTTGCATCTCAGCTTTAGCCATTTAGTTTTAAGAAACTGCCTCTTCAATGGTCACAGAGCCGCAGGCAATGGGCTGTCACTTTCAGTTGTTGGCTGGACTGAAACTAGCCAATGGGTCATCTCAGCTGCACTGAGATTCCCGGAATGCACGGCATGAGTCTACGCGTCCAGAAGCCTCTGGTAGCCTGTGGGCTCACGTGCGCTCGCGCCTCGGGCCAGGAATGGCCGACCGCATGTCCCCAGATCGCAATAGCAAAGCAGAAGGCCAGAAACTCCCAAAGAAAACAATAAACACAACGGACAAACAGAACATGAAGGTCAGGATACTTTGCCCTTTCCTCGACCTTGGATTGAAGCCATGCACAGCTCAATGGCCTTGAAGTACCAAGGGCAATTGGGAAACATCTTTCTTTCTTCGGCAGCTTGCGTTCCTTGCAATTCCTTTATCGTCCCCAAGTTGGGACAGCGCGCTTGAACTTGGACAGCTGCAAATAGTCAGTGGTGTCGCATCCCACATCCCCTTTCATCAGATCAGTAACTGTCTAATGTCCACCTACGACTAGGAAACTACCCCTAAATAAAGCTAAACGTGTTCCCAAACCAATTAATATACCACCCCCAAAAAAATCCCCCCCCTCAACAAAAATGCTCTGATCCTTTCTTTTTCTTCAGGGGCAAGCTTTCCATGCAAGCTGGCTCATCAAAAAATGAATCCAATTCCATCAGATCCCAAAATTATTGAGTGATTCCCTTCATCAAATTCTTTATCTGGAAACCTTCAACAATCACAACTTGACCCTGCCAGCAAGGCTACCCCCCATGAAGCCTCGTGCACTAAATAGTTCCTGACCCTACATAAAGCTAAGCTGATTCCCACTGATGCAAAAGTTCTTGGCCCAATACTACTTTAGAATTGGCTCAATTCTAAACTAGTATTCCCCCCAAAGCAAAACAAAGGAAAAAACAACATGCCCATTACTACTTTAGAATTGGCCCAATTCTAAAGTAGTATTCGAAAACCAAAAAAAAACAGAGCCCGATACTAAACATATTCTAAACTTGTCCTGACCCTGACTTTTTCCCCCTCAACTTTATTTAGGGTCATTCACGGGGGGGCCCTATTTATTAATCAGAGGCGGACATTAATGGTCCTGATCCGCTCAACATGGGGGCTGACAGGGATTCGCCGGAAGATCAAAGTCCTTCTGGGATAGCCTGCTGTCCATTTCAGGGGCACCCAACTTCCGCAAACGTAGATGATTGCAGCAGTGAGTTGGACCTGCGATGTTCATGTTCTAGGTCAGCTGGGCCGTAAAACAAAAAACAAAACATAATATAGTCCGGTCATCCGGAATCACCAGGAGTCAACATACAACAAGTCCCTGAGGTGACCGGCTTGCAGATGCATGCAGGTCCTTCATCAAGGCCTGACAAGGACAAGTTGATCAAAGGCTGGGTGGGGGCTGGGCGAGGCTGAAACTGTTGCACTGTTGATATCTTTGATCTGAGCATCATCTGGTCAACAAACACAAGAAGACCCTGCACTGCCAGGTCACCAGGTGCTAATGAATCTGCCAGCTACTGCACTAAGACATACTTAAAGACCTCGGCAGCATGTCCGTTGGTGGTGGCTTGATCAGTACGACGCGAAATAAGTCTCTGCATGTTTCTGCATGTCATTTCCATACAAAGGACCTCAGGACTTTCTTCAAAGCCAACAGAAGGGACCTTCTTGCTTCCCCTTTGGGCTCAAAAGGCTTTGCCGGCATACTCTCCCGTGAGAGCAAGCGTGGTCAATCTTCAAGACAACATGTTGAGGGTCATCATCCGCACTTGTCCCAATGAATCCAAGAGCGTTTCCTCTCTGTTCCCAGTTTGTCGGAAAGAATCCCGCGAATTATCATGGTCTGAAAAGACTCGCAGCATCCGCTTTGGATTCCTCACTTCCTGAGGCAGTACTGTCAGGACGCGTCGCATATCAGTTGATCCATGTCCGGCCTTTTCCGAACTCGCCATGGACCTTTTCAAGGCAGAAATGCAAGGTCCTTGACTCGCAAGGTAAAGTTCCGAAGCTCCGTCGTTGCCAACGCAAACGCCGCAACTTCAACCAGAACTCGCATATTCAGATTGTTCCCTTCACGCAACAACCTGACTGTTCAAGCCCAGCGGATCCCAGGTTTCCTCAGGCGCCGTGATATGTTGCTTTTTTCCCTGCCGGGGGAATCCAGGGCAAAACACGATGTTCGGTCCTTCTATGAAATTATCTTGGTCATCCAGGGTAAACAGAGATCCACCGGGGACACAAATTTCATTCAGTGCTTAAGCGCTGACACTCACTGGATCCATCTGCATCGCGTAGGCGTCAATCAGTCTTCGCACCTCTGCGAGTTGAGCCGAAGGTGGGGGTGCAACATCTGCACTTACGAGCCATGAAAGAGAAATGTCAAGGCGCACAAAGCTCTCTCTTTTTTGCGCAGAATTGCTATGGTGTGTTGCGTGAGTCAAATTCTGGAAATCAGTTACCCCGACTTGGGCTATGCGAAACGTCATTTGCGTAGTCTTGCTTTTACCTGGATCATGGAAAGAGCTCCAGCACAAAAGCAGTTCCCATCTTTCCAGCCGCCAGTTTTCGGGCAACACGATCATTCCCCCTGCCGAATTGCCTCCCCTTGCCGGAGCAAATCTGCGGGTCATTTCACCCAACACAAATCGTCCAACCGTCCTTTTCGGGCCTTTCGGCGGTCAGCTTCCATCTTGCCACCAGCCAATAGCAAAAGCAAAATTATCACTATAAGCCGACCCGTGATTTGAACATGAACCAGGTCACCCCCCAGCCAATCTGGGTTGTTCCAAATTTGGGATCCCTAACATTAATCCGTGGTGGAACGCATTTGGCATAACAGATTCATGTGGGTGACCCATTTGGCATCCGTTTTCTGACCCCCGGCAAAAAGTGTCACTTCTAGTTGGCTAAATTCGGGAACCCCACTAAACCCACTACAAACAACGAAAAGAACACCTGAGGTAACCGGACGCTTCGCTGGTTTCGAAAGTTTCCGAACCAAGTCTTGATTCGGAAACCCCACTAAACCCACTAAGACAAAGCAGCAAACAACCTATAAGCACCCGTGGGCTGGGAACCAGCCGCATGCTCCGCGCCTCCTGCAGCTCCTTGCGATCCCCGAAGGCCGCCTGCAGCGCATTTCGGTTCAGCTGCAGCGCCTCCTGGCGCGTCAGCCCCGCGCGGAGACAAACGCAGAACTCCTCCGTGAGGTCCGTGACGAAGACCGAGGGATCCTCGGACACTCCCGGACTTCCCATGGTGTTTGGGTGTTTTTTTTGTTGAGCTTTCTGGAGCTTCCGAACTTCCCGCATGGGTTTTTTGGGGTATACCTAGATAGCTAAGTCGCTGCATAAACACACACACACACAAAACAAAAAACAGCAACTGGCGATCCAGGTATGGATCGAAGGTGCCCGAAGAGTGGCCTAAATTCATTGAGGGGTCCGCCGTCCCTACCAAACCTATGTATAAACGTGTGTCTTGATGGTGCTTCATAGTCTGGCCATGTCTGGCCCAACTATGAGGAGACATTGCTGTGTGCCATGCTCTGCATGGTAGCAATCACTGGCGAAGCATGGCATTTGCCAAACTATAAATTGCTGGAACCATTCCATACTAATGTGCCTCATCCCCCATGTTGCTCAACCCTCGAAAACCACAATTGCTCACCGCCAACATGGCGAATTCAAAACGCTGGATGGGCATCAAGGGGCGCGCGCTTCTGCTGCCTACCTAGGTCAACGTTCAGACTCCTAAGGCTTCCAGGTGACAGGAGAGGCCTGGAGCCCCTTGACTTGTTGATCCTCAAAATCCACGTCGTTGGCATTGGGAAAAAGGAGTGCGCATAAAAGGCGGTGATGGGCGATAGCTATCTTTTCGGGTACCACATTCAATCGAATTTGCTGAAGGAACCACACGACCGCTACAGACCGTCTATCAAGTGCTTCATTCTCATACCCCAAAACCACTGCTTAACCCTCGGTTGATGTGGCGAGGCCTGCAGTGAAACATCCTTCCTGTAGGTTTCTCTGATGCGCATTGTAGGCACACCTACCACGCACACACATATATCACAGGAAGCATGCGCCTGCAGCCATAATGCATGCCAGAGTCTTGTACACGCTTCCCTCTGCTACACACTTGTCCTGCCTGTCAACACTTACCAGAAGCGGCATTGAAAACAGAAGCCACTGCTGCAGAACAATCAGCATGCATGTTCTATGCACTGGACCACGCAACCGACTGCTCCTCGGCTTCGGACTGCATGCCGGCACCGGCCAGGGCGACGTTGTATGAATGCAACAAGAGCATGCAAATATTATAATTATCTATACGAGTCATGCCCTTTGTCTTCCATAGCTTCCAAGGACAAAAAACGTGAGGTCTCTCAGAGCGCCTGTCACCAGAAACGCAAATTATTGTATGCTGGATCCGTGCGTGCCAAGCAACTCAACAAGCAGAAGGATGCATGGCATATGCGAAATTACAACAACAAACAAAGACAATACCAATATACAATATATTATTCTATTACCAGCCTCTCAGCCACCCCCCCCGCCAAAACAATGAGCTCTTGTCGTCACCATCAATCAACAACCGCGAACTCCGACTGACTCCCCTGCTCCACCGGGAAGGTGAAGCTGCAACTCAACCGTCCAGGTGCTGCCACTTTTCATAGTACGTAACAGGGTGAAACCATGCAACACCTGCAGGCAAACATGCCGAAAGGTTACCCATGGTTACCCATGGTTACCCATGGTTACCCATGGTTACCCACTACCTCCGTTTACTCAAGTCCTCTCAAAAAACAACATGTCCAATGATAGACGTCCTTTACACCAACAGGGGGAAAAAAAACACCCATACTCCAAAGCGAATGGAAGACTGTTTGCAGCTTGCCAGCATTTTTCTCCGCCGAGCGTCATCTGAATTGATGGACACAGAGGCGCCTGCCTCCAACATGGCGTGCAAGGGATGCTTCGGCCAGGGCGGCTTGTCGTCGGTGTAGTGCCAGGCCCCGGTCTCCTAACTCGCAGCGTGTCGCTTGAGGAGACCCCGGTACTCAGTTGAAGGACCACTGGAAAACCACAGCTACCTTCTTGGGGGGGATGGGTTCCCTATTTGCAGACAAAGAAATCTAACAGTTTCAGTAACACATCGCAAGGTCCGCAAAAAGTCGAGGTCCCTTGCGTCACTGCAAAAGAGCAGTCTCCAGCCATCAAGCAGAGAATGCAGCAGGAGCGTGAAAAAGCTCATGGCAGCGAGAACTCTCCCCCATGAGCCCAAGTGTATAGCTGACACCCGCGCATGGCAAACCATCAACCCGACCTGTTCCGCAGCATCACTATCCAAATGTGCAGCTAGACAGAAGCGCTACAACACGCTAGCACGGCTATTGAACAAGAAGCATCAGTGCTCTTTGTCAAGTGGGCACCTGCGATCAATGATTCAATGATAGAACTTCCTTTGCGTGTTTTTCAAATAAAATCATGACTGCCAAAACAAGCGCCATCTAACCAAACCAACCATCCTTCAGTGACTACGTGGATGGCCCTGCCAGTGGTTGGCCTTTATTGGCTTCCTGATCCAAACGAAAGCTTTGGTCAAAATGACTTGCTCTGCCAAAAGAACATGAGACATTTGGTGAGTCCCTGCATTTTGTGAGAATCCAGTGAGTCCCGCCACGCTTCTCTCGACTCTCCTCCCAGCAATTTTGACCGAACCTCATAGCAAGCCATCCAGACAGGGTCCCTCCCTAAGTGTTGTGGAACTGTCCTGCCGATTTCCACGACGTGGAAACTCAAAGAAAATTGGAACATGTCGAACATGGCTTCGAAGGGGCAAAACGGTGGGTTGACAACATGGCGACCCCTCATACAGAACTTAAAGCTATTCCTTCAACAAACAAAACAAAGGGCCCTAGGATCGACGACTTCCAGCTTACAAAAGCTTGGGAATCCTGAGGATTGTCATCCTGGAGGCTTCCCTTCTTCCTTTCAACACAAGTTCTGATGCCGTTTTTGCGGGTATCCTACGGATACTCTTTCAGACCCGTTTCAATCAAAGGGGTTCCCTTTGTTGGGGGTCGCTACAACACGAATCTCAAGGCAAAACGCGAACGCGCGCCACTCGCGTCCTGGGAGGACGTGGGGCAAACCTCGAAGTGGGCGCCCTCTGCCACACAAGCCTTGAGAAGCTCAGGCTGGTCCGCCGCCGCGTAGCCGTGCCCCACTCGGGCCGCTCGGAAGTCGAACACCGCGTGCCGCACGTTCTCCTCACAAGAAAACTATGGCCGGTACGTGTCAAAACGAGTTGAAACCTTGTTGGGTTGGTTTCGAACCCCAACATCCTGCTTAAACAAAAACCAACCAATTCAACTAGTTTTGGGAGCCCTTCTGGTATCCACGTGCGCATGTCTCAAAAAAACTTCAGCTGACAAGATGCATCGCCAAGTCTCCGGGCCTCCCATCTCCCCTGCATGGAGCGTGGCCTTGATGCCGAGCTCGTTGGCCTCAATTTCTCCCCTTCGCCCGCAGATTCTGTTTTAGGTACACGTCACTTGGCTGCTGCTGTTGACCCCGAAATGCAAAAAGCGAGTTCAACTTTTTGCGGGTCCAACAGAACATGCGCTGTTTCCCAAACATGAGCAAAACCGCCTCCCTCAAGGCACGGCAAAAAAGCACTCAGCCAGTCGCTTGCAGCAAGCCCGTCCCAACCTTCCGAGGCCCCAGGGCTGGGTCATCCCTTTCCCCATCGAACCACCAGTCTCCACGACCCTTTAAAAATGCTTGGTCACCCAAAATTAAGGGGTTTTGAGCCCTTTTTCTAGGGGTCATGGAGACTCTAGGCACCTTCAACAAGCTTTGGGCTTCCGAAGAAGTCTGAGACCCAGTTTGCCCACTTCCCGCCAATGGGCTGCCATGCCATGGGCTTCCCACGAATTCCACGCCCCCGTTTCCCAGGTCGACCCAGCGGCTCGTTGGAAGGCCGGCGCATGCTGCGCCGGGTCGTCCCCCACCTCCCCCGCCGCCACGTCGATGCCCACCACGGCGCAGGGGAAGGCGTCGCGGTGCTTCAGCGCCAAGTCCACGATGGCGGTGGACCAGGAGGGCTGGAAGGAGATGCAGCACAGGATCCTAAGAATGAAAACAAACACGGCTTTGATCCTCTCAAAGAAACAAAACCAAAAAGAAAACACAAAGGGCTTTGGATCGATCCTCTCAATTGAAACAGAACAGAAAACAGCCTTCGGATCGAAGCTGGACATCAGCAGGAAAAAATCAGTCCCGCCAAATCAAAAAAACAAACGCCTTTGGATCGAATCTGGACATCAGGAGGAAAAAATAAAAACAAAAAATACCCCGCCACACACAGGCACACATGCACTTAAAAAGAAAAAACGGTTGATTGACTAGACTCGAATATGGAATGGGGAGACAGAACATCCAAAGCCCAAAACAAGTCGTTGATCGAACATTGGGACTGGGAGACAAACACCTGGTGGAAAGTCCGAAGTTCGGGCCAACACCGGGAATCAAGTTGGGAAGGTCTTAAGGTTCCAGCCAGAAATGTATACTGAAGGTGTGAGATATGGATTTACAACTCGGACATGCAACATAAACTAACTCTGCGGTTGCTTTTGTGCTTGCTTGTTCTAGTGTAATGTTCTCATGTGTCAAACGCGTTTCCGTGGAATCATAATCTATCTTGACTCATTCTGCGAACTAATCAAATTCTTGAAGCAGTCAGTGGCTTACATGAAGGATTTCGGAAACCCACCGTGTGTCTTCTTCTCGGGTAGCCCCCAAATTGGTGTTTGTCCTTTTGGTTTCCCTTCACAACCACCAAAAAGGGGTACCCTCGAAAAAGAGACAAACCCAGCTGGCCAATTTATCTGGGTTCCTTACACTATACACCTGAGCATTGCCTTGTAAATGGTGGTTTCCCTTTATTTTGGTGGAAACAAATATGTTTCAAATGGGCAACATGTATCTTTTAGGGAGCCCTGCGACTCAAAAAGAGACAAACCCAGCTGGTCCATGGAGCAAATCGAGGCCGAGGCGCTGGTTCACCACGATGCCGTGCTCCCGGCAGCCTCTTCTGAGGCCTCGGGTCACTGCAGCCACTGCCGCCTCCGGGTCCAGCCTGGTCTCGCCCGAGAAGTACTCCCCGTCCAGCAGAAGGTGCGGGGAGTACCGCACCTCCGATTGCAATGCCATGCAGTTGCGTTTCAGGGGGGTTTCCGTAAACATTGCACAGGTCATATTTACTGGGGCTTGCTGCTTGCTAGCAAGCGATACCCCCCACCGACCAACGTACTTTTCTTCAGGAATAAACCCTGCATCATGGAGAGCACGCCATACCCGTTTTGCAACCAAACAGAAGCGGCCTTGTATGAAAAGGACATAGATGAAACAAACCTCCAGACCAGTTGCCGGTGTTAAAGCGCAACCATCCGAGATTCGCCCCTCAAGGGGGCCTATGTCTTTGTCCACTGAGCTTACCGCACAATGCTCAACTCACATGGCCCGCCTCTGGACAGGCGTTGGATACATTGGTTGCTGTTGGTGTCTTTTGTTTTAGGTATCTTTGAGTCAGCAATTAGGCCTATGCTAGATGACAAAGGGCGAAACTCTGCGAGGATCATTATCAGCTAGCCGGGTGACTAAGCCAGGCCAGACCTCTCGAGGAAATTCCTGAGTTTGGGCGGTGTGAAAGCATCGCCCGTCACTCCAAGAAAAACGCTCGGACAACCGATACAAAAAAACTGCAAATAGCTGCACGTGGACAGCTCCCTCTTGGTCTCCTTTCAAAACAATGCACGGAACAGATGTTTTGGCACTTGTTTTCCCTTTTTTCTTTTCGAGGGCACCTCTTGTTTTGATGGCTCCAGGAAAAAGACAGCCCCGTTTGTTGGTTGCAGCCCATTTCGAGCGTCACCTCGGTGTAGACCACGTTCTCCTTGGCTTGGCGGCAGCAGAAACGGTAGCTCATCTCCTCCACAGCATTGAGGTCTCCGCGCACGCAGGGCAAAAAGATGTTGAAGCAGTCCAGCATGGCCTCCCAGCCAATTTCCGTAGTCTGGGGCCCAGTCTGTTTGCGTCTGTCAACTGTTTTGAGGGTACCCCAAGTTTAGTGGTGTAAAAGAAAATCACCATTTTGGGCAGTCCCCCCCAAAAATGGTGGTCTATGTTCAGATTCTGGTCCATATCTGTTTAGTGAGCCTTATGACATAGGAGAGATATCAGCTCAAACCCTCAAAGCAAGTTCTTTTGCCCTTTCCGTTTCCCTTTACCTTACCCAATTCAATTTGTATCACAGGCTTGTGGGTGGTTGATCTTCTGGTGGGCAATCGCAGCGAGCTGTTCCAGTGGAAACGGAGTAGAGTCACTAGGTAGGGGAACCATGGGAAACCCTCTTGCAGTAGGTAGCCAAGGGAAACAATACTCGGTTGTTCAGTGATCCTGGAAAAAACAGGGACCCCTTTTGGGGAAGACCATTTTTAGCGGGGGCACCCAAAAAGAAGTTGGAAAAGAATTGGTGCCACTGAACAACTGAATCAAGCAAACTAATAAATTGGCTGGTTGCTACCTGCGGCTTGCTTGGAATCTTGGGATCCTCCGGGCCAAAAGTCTTGTCATCTAGTTTCTGTGGAGTTTTCTCCTAGGCCAAGAATTGGAGTTTAACATCTCAGGAACCAGTTTGCCTTTTTCGGCCTTGCGAAGTGGTCCTTACAAACAGGCCATGTTTTTGTTTGTTACGTGAGGCCTATATACACTGAAAGCACATACGAGTACCTACGCGGCGTACTACGGTTTTGTCTCCCCAAAGGAGAGAGCGTTCCAACTGCTACGGTAGCCAAACGGCTCGGAGCTAACATCCCGTTTTCTCTTCTGCCTCATTCAGGCCCCTCAGTCTTTCGTAGAACCTGTCTCGCGTGCAGGATAAGTAACGCGTTGCCGAGCTAGCAGCTTTGTATCTGCTTCAAAGCGAGGGAGGCGCCATGCAGGCTCCCTCCCCCCCAAAAAAAAGCGCTCTTCAAAGTCAAAGGTGGCCCCGGTGTCCACTGGAGGCCATCGAGTAGGGTGGACCGGACAGGGGAAAACTCAACACTGATGGATTAATCTCTTGAGCCAACAATTGGCATGTTTGGCACTGCTGTCAGAAATGACTGCCCGAACACCCAAAGAACTGGAAACGGCTTTCGCCCTCCTGGGGTCACGTGATGGGAACTCCCTCGAGTCCCCTGAATGCATCTAGTGTACTCTAGCTACAGGGATAAAACCAGTAACAGCGGTGGGGAGGGACAGGACCTTCAGAACATCACCTTCTCCAATTTGGGGCAAGGCGTCCTGTCCGGATACTACCACACCATCACTGTCGTTGGGCTGCTGATGGCTGTTTACTGGCCCCTTGCAAACAAGACTCTCCTAACCCTGGGTGAATCAGGAACTCCCCACACACACACACACACACAAACGCGCACAAACTTGTAAACACCAACTCCTCCGTATGACTTCAAATTTTCACAACTTCATCTTTTGCGCGCATTTTGCGGTTTAGGCAGGTCTGTCAGTGGAATTGCGGCTCATTCGTTGCCGCGGGACTCTCGGTTTTCTCGTGTGGATTCTACATGAAAGGAAGTCGCCCTCGTAACTCGTAACAAAAGCTATTTCATGCAAAACCTGTGATCGCAAAACATGCTGCCATGACATAAGATCCTCCCGCGCCCTAAATTGAGAACGTCTGATACAATGGGCGCCTTCGAATAAGCTTCGCTTCTGGTCGTATCTTCCTATTATGAGAAGCCAACGTCAAAAAGGGCTCCTTTTATTCCCCCCCCCCCCCGTCGTGTGATGGACTGTTGGGAACAGTGCGACTTCACGCATGACTGTCGTTGTGAGTTAGCACAACTCGATGCGGTTTAGTTCAGCTCAAAACAACTCAGCGCAGTTCAGCTTAGATTCGCGTTGGATCAAAGCTACGTGTCCTATCTTGTCATTGTGGTTTCATGAACTCTCAGCACAGGCGCTAGTCAGCTAAACAACAAAAGCATTTGAGTTGAAATCAACTCCATTTCATTTCAGCTCAGGTTCACTTTTTCAGCTCAGTTTCACATGTTCTTCGAATTCTACACCACTGCTCTGATTGAGGATTGGCAGCTTTGCTCGGACCTGATGGATCCCGCCTTCAAGGACCTCTGGCCTTTGCAGGTGATCAGCTTCTCGAAGTCCTCGAGCTTCTCACAGCTCGCCACCTGCACCGACTTCACGATGTGACACGTTTGGCGCTGATTTGAGAAACTGGGGCTGCCAGGAGTAGCATGCTTGTGTGGCAGGGTTGGAGCCTTCAGCCTAGCAGTCGCACTTGATGAGATCGCATTTGAAGAGAGTGAGAGAGAGAGAGAGTGAGCACAACTTGAGGATAATGGAAGGTAAATCCGACTGATCTGGGGGACATCACGCCAAGTAGGCAAGAATTTATGTTCCAGGATTCCTCCCTGTGCTTGATACTTCCACATCATGGCTGGTTGTGCGACATGCATCACAAGCTGAACATTATATATTAATTTGGTGCGTGACAACTCACATGGGCTGCGAAGGCTTGCTGGTCGCGCGGACCAGCCTTCCTAAGCAGGCCTATACATGGCAAGAATCAGGCTACCAGGCTGCCAAGTTTGCCAGCACTAAGCCTTCACGATCTTGCTAGGCAGAAGCTACCAATTCACCAAGTAGTAGTGCTGGGTGCCCTAAAACACCTGCACCCGCAGCATGGTAAACATGCCGTGCTCTTCAATGTTAAGCCTATAAAGCCTTCAACATCTCAGATGAATGACCTGGACCAGCCAAGGACCTCAACGCCTTCCCTTTAAATTGGCGATCGTTTCACACAAACGCAAGCTGCCTTCAAAACGATGCCCTTCTGACTGCTGCCCCATTAGCAAGATCATTGGGTTTGGCCGAAAAGCATCGCCTTCCTTTTTGCATTTATTTGGAAACACAGAATAACATCCTTTCAACATCTGCTGCGACAACCTCCCCATTTAATACCGGCGCTACTTCTCCGGGACCTCGCTCGGGCGCGCCTTGTCGCGCACAGCCATGGCCTTGCCCGTGACCGCGCTCTCCGTGTTTTCCGGAAGCTCCCCCAAGCGCTTCTTGGCCAACTCGAAGAGCAGTGCAGGGTCGAAGGCGCCGTCCAGGTGAACGTGGAGCTCTACTTTGGGCAGCAAATGGGCCTTACGACTTGGGTCTTGGCTACCACTTTGTGTATAAAGCTGGCTACCAAATAGGTATCGCAGATATAGCATGCATCCCCTGGCCTTGAGTACACCCCTGGGCTCAGGGGAGGGGCAGGCTTCAGATTTGCAGTTGTGCCCCTGGAAGATGCTCAGGTGGATGACTTGTCGCACTTCTTGTGAACAAGGTCGGAAACAGAAGCACTGCAACAAAAACAGGGGCCGTAGAGCATTCCATTCCTGCCCACCCGAACCAAGCCCAAACCCATCCTACACCCACACCCACCCTAAACCCACAGAGTCATGCCCTGCCAGGCCGGCAGGGCCAACAAACTCCTCGAATCCTTCGGGGCCAAGTGCAGCTAAGCTGCAAACCCATGTAGTATCAGACCCAATGGAAGACACCAAGAATGCTCATGACACCGAACCTTCTTGTCGCGCAACATAAGTGTGAAGCTTGAAACTGCGTGACTTGGCTTGTAAGAACAACACCTTTGGTCAAGCTTAATTTCTTATGAGTTGTCCACAAAATATGACCGTTGCTGTATCACGCCATGTTCGCTGCATTATTTACTTTCAAACTGGTGGCTTGTCCGATGCAATTCGGTGCATCTTTGTTGGTACTGCTTAGAGCCAAGCTGAACTCAACGCACATCCAAGTTTCTAAGCCAAGACAAGCAGGAGAGTCAGCAATCCGGCAAGGGCCGCAAGGGTCCGGATTCAGCTGTCTGCCATCCAAAACCTGGACGAGCGTTAAGTTGTGCGGCTTCAAACATGGTTCAGGCACCTCGGACTGTTTGCCATTAGCTTGCCACATGTCAAGGCTGGCATCGCTCTTTCTGATCTGTTGAGCTTAGAACATCTTGTGACCCGCTCAAACCAACGTTGCGGAAATCCAGTATCCAGAGACTCCCTCATGCCAGAACACACCAAGGCATGTTCTTCCGCAACACCAAACAAAGCATTCCCTGCCCAAAAGAGCCCACCGGGAACATTTGGTCACGAAGAACTCCCTTGCCGCACCAAACATGTCGGGCTCGGGCTTGGGGCCTCCCTTCACCCCCCCCATCCCGCGTATGAAGCCCAGGTGCCCAAGTCTTGTCATCTGGCCGCTCTCCATGGGTTGCATACCCTGCACGCACCGCCTGCCGCTCATCGGGCGCCATGGCTCCCTGGAAAGGAAGCTATCGATCAGCTCGTGTCTTCACAGGAGGATGAGTCTGAACAATTGCCACTCAGCCTGCCTCCAGGAATCAACCACATCACTTGAGACATCGCACAGAACAAGTTCAATACCACAGCACGGTATATATATATATATATACACACACACGTATATTCGACATATATATATATATATATATATATGTCATGCTCATTGCACCGAATTGGTCCCTGACCTGATCTGCTTAACTCAGCAAAGCACATGTCAGGGCCAAAAGCTCGAGCCAAACGCTCCATAGGCCGCGCGCTCAACCATCTGCTCCTCTATAAGTCGCCTGGCCAAGAGCTCGCGGCCTGTGGCGCAAGTAGTACCAACATGGCACCTTGGTATATGGAAGCAAAGACTAAAACCTGCGTAACCCTGGCTCGGTTGCTTTCTGCTCCCCTGCTAAAAGTGACTAACTTTTAGTGGTTTAATACGGAAAACCCAGTAGTTGGCAAAAAGTTAAAGTCCTAACATCCAAGCAACATGCACCAAAGCTGGGCCTTTTTGCATTTGAGCCATACCCATGTTTGGGAGAGGGACCAATCTGCCACGATGCACTGAGTTCCAATCATGGAAGGTAAAGCCCTTCAGAAACATTAGGACGCTGGATAGAAAGTACATTTACCCACGGATACTGGCAGGCAACCGAAGAACCTAAAAAGCAGGCAGCATGGCCACTGGCTTCCGAAAAAATGAATGAAAACCGTTGCCCTGTTGCTCGACTTGATTTGTGTTCAAATCCAAGCACAAAACGTGCGCAACGTCTACGAGTACCGCTTATCCATGCTTGAAATTACAAATGCTCAGCTTGATTGATCATCCGACTATCTTCCAAGTTCTTGCGTGTTTTCATGCAGTGATCCACTTTCAAGCATTGAACCGCAATTCAGTTGAATGCCACAAGTTGAGCAAAACACTTGCACGTTTCTATCCACTGCAGCCAATGACCAAATTCTTTCATGACCAAACACGTGCTGCTGGATATTCATCACCGAGCAAAAAAAACAACAAGAAGCCTTTCCAAAGGAAAACGCGCGGATTTGTCCACGGATGCACGGTGAAAAAGATAAATCAGCCTTTCCAACCTGACATGGCGCCTTCGAAACTTGAGTCTTCCCTTTCCGCGTCCGCAGAAAGCCTAATCACGTGAGCTGAGCGACTCCTTGGCTTCCGACTTCGATGAGTCACCGGGCCTTCTCCTGCTTCTCTTTGAGCCGCCACAGGCTCCAGGTCAGAAACCTGCGAGCTCATGGATCTGGTCGCATAGGGATGTCGCATGGGCTGAGCTATGGGTGAAATGGGGGTTGATCACAAGGTGCGAAATACATGGGATGACCATCAGGGAGACCAGCAAAAGATGCCTTTCAGGGAAAAGTTACTCATGGTCATGGGGCCAAGAATATTGATCAACCAGATGCCAACATCAGCTAAACTGAGAGATCTGCAAAGGAGTCCGCATTGGCTGCGAACGCAAAGGAATTCATCTGCACAGCAGTCGAGATTGGCTGAGCCAAGGGATTGACAAGAAGCAGCAACTCTACGAAGACCAACAGACCTGAAATGTCTGCAGGGAACAGCTCTGCAAGCCATGCCATTTGTGCGGGAGATGTCAACTTGTTTTCCTAACATCGACATGGATATAGGTGCACACATGAACATGTGTGACGTCTGTGTTGCCAAAATAAAGAGTTGTAAGCTCAAAGCAATAGAACGTTTGCATCAGTTTACGTGGTAAACGACTCTGTTTTATGTGCATCTACAAGTAGCAAATATAAACATGTACCTATTTGGCCTTGCCAAGAATCACTCAACCATCCTCTGAAAGCAAACTCCTGTGGCCAACTTTTGCCACAGACCCTCATGCGAATCTACTGAAACACATCACAAAAGTGACCAAAAAGCGAGACTCACCATCGCAGAACTGTGACTGTGGCAATCAGTTGTTGCTTGCGTGCGCAAGCTGCTAGCTAGAATGCCTGCCTTCATCTTGCAGGGGTTCACTTGCACATCTTGCTTTTGCCAACAGTCAGAACGCTCGAGTCACGGCGCTTGAATGATCAGCTTTGTACATCAGGGGCAAACTGGGCAGTAACTGTATGCTGTTCCCCCAGAAGCAAGCATGCATGCCATGAATATTATGCTTGCAAGTATAGCTCGGCAAATTCAATTTTGAGCTTCCTCAGCCTGCATGCTTCTGTGTAGCCAAGGCACGCAACCAGCAAGCCTGGGCACGCACAGAGTCCCCGACCTCTTAAGATGGCATTGCGTTGTGAACCCTTTTTCTACCCCCTGGCCGGAATCATACACAATGTTTGATACTATGATATGGAATCATTGTTATTGTGAATCTGACAGCGTCGCAGGCAGCAAACCTGTAATCAAGTCCGTTCCGCCTGTTGGCAGGAGCAAGAACCCTTAGCATGCGCACTAAATACTATTATAGGAAAGGCAGTGAACACAATATAGCACCCACGCTGCGAGGTCCTTTGCCGACGCATGTGAAGTCATCTTGTTTGTGAGCGAGGAGGCCAACAGAAAACTCTGTAAACTACTTTGCCTCAAGGCAATTCAGGTATTCCCTCCCTTGTGTTCACTGAAATTCAGCTCTCTGTCGGCCTTCCATGCCGATACAATATACTTGCACATATGTTATAATTTCATTCCCGCACCAACACAGTACAGTTGAAGCACGAACGCCTCGCGTGGGCTGTGGCATGCAAGCTGTAAGGGACTTGCTGCCCTCGGAATTGCGGAAGGCAGTCAACTAAGCAAATGCACATTCATTCCTCTTCTAAAGCCTTCGTGTTGAACTTTAAACAAAGCGGTTTACAGTTTACATTGACTCAACGAAAGTGAAAGGACAACAGTTGCCATCCACATTCTCCAAAGGCAGGAGAAACGACGCCCTCCCCCCCCCATTCCCCCGCCCAAGAACACCCCACCCCCCCACCCACCCTCTATCTGGCGGGTATGAGCGGAGCGGCACTCGGCGTTCAGCAGCGCTGCATGGGCCAGCAGTGCTTGATTCTTCGTGAAGGTCCATCGCTTCAACTCATCCTGGGCGCTCGGGCGCTCGGGCGCCAAGTTGTCGCTCGGTTTGACACGCCGAAAACCCAGGGTTGCGAGAGGACACAAGAAAAAACGAAGTCGTCCAGCCGGATGTGACTCACGTCTGGCAAGAAACGGTGCAACTAAAGATGTAAGAATTGACCAGCGCCGCCTGCACGCAAAGCAAGCAAGTTTTGGTCTAGGCTGTCAATTAAACCGTGATTTTCTCTTATGCCCTACCAACAAATGGAACCATACTGTGAATGGACAAAATCCATTTCGCACCACCTAAGAAACCTTGGAATGATGGTTCCCCTGTAAATACCAAACAAAAAGTTTCAACCAGGGCTTCAAAGTGGTGCGAGCGGATTTTGCCACCATCCACAGTATCTGTGTTGCCCCATTTTTATTTTCCGAATCTTCTGTTGCACAGTGTCCTGCAACTCCATCTCCTTGGCATGCTGCTCCAGCGTCATGTACAGCTTGGAGCCAACCTCGTGATGATCAGCCTTTCAACCAGCTGCCATCTGCACAAACATGCGGGAGCTATCCTAAGATGAACAACACTTGTAGCAAACAAAATGAGGTGTATCCTAAGATGAACAACACTTGTAGCAAACCAACCCAACAAGACAAGGTGTTGGTGCGTCCACACCATGCCCATCCTGCCCACACAAAAAGCAGTAAGCCGAAATGTGCTTGCCGGGCGCCCAATTCCAAGAATGTTTGACAAGCAGCGCTTGGTATGCTGTGCTTCAACACATGAGACCCCTTCATGAATTCCTGGATTCCTTTCTTGGCGAGTTCCAAAACCACTTAAGACGCGTGGAAACGGGCCCTGTTTATTGGGAAACCACAAGGTGTGCATAGGCGTACATGCCCATCAACACTCACTCTTTCAGAAGAATCGCTGTTTCTTGGCTAGTTGGTTTGCTGGCTTGTGGAAAACTATTTTGCTTGTTCGTTTGTTTGTTTGTTGTTGCTCATGCCTGTTAGTGTCCAAGCGAAAGGGGAACACGCTGCCACTTGGAGGGATCAGCTTCAGATCGAAAACAAACGCTGGTCAAAATCGCAATTCATTCACCTGACCTCTCTCCACGCCTTTCTGGGGGAGTAGCTGAGGGTTAGGCACTGCTCCATGACGGGTTTCCCACCATATGCAAAATGTCCCCAATGCGTGAAACCATGAATAAACCCCAGGCATGAATCCCGCCGCATTCAGCAGGCCAGCGGTCTGCCGACCAGTTGCTGTCTACTTTGCAATCTTTTCGGTTGACCAACCAGCATGACTCTAGTTTCATTCACCAGACCATACTTTGAGCTTTGTGCAGAAAGGCTCCCCCAAAGCCGGGCGGCTGTGATTCCATTGAGCACCTGAGGTTGGATCTGCGCAATCAGCAGCAGCAACCGCACCCCGGTAAACCTGGGCCAATCTGAAACGAACATGGAAATGCACTCACTTACGAACATGGACACTTTCAAAGCCTCGGTTGCTTTCTGCTCCCCTGCTAAAGTTTAACTTTAGTGGTTTAATGGAAAACCCATTAGTTGGCAAAAAGTTAAAGTCCTAACATCCAAACAAAATACACCAACGGTTCATTCTTGTTGCACTCACTTGCGAACAGACAATCACTGACTCGCGAACATGGACAGCATCAAAATGCAAGAGCAGCGCGACTGTTCGGAGAGGGAAGGTCCCCCCAACACGCCTCCCCCTCGAAACAAACAATCGCTTACCTACGACATCGGTCAAACAAGAAGACTCATAGTAGCGGTGGGAGGCGGTTGTTGGTTGAACAAAAATGGGGAACAACAAGGCCCCGCCCCCGCAGCTTAAACAGTTTGCTGGTTGCAAGAAAAAATGAAGGACACCCAAAAAGGCCACAAGATTAACAGCTAAGTCTGTCAATAAACTTATCATACATCGTCATCGTCTGGTTCATGTAC